AGGTTGTACCCCTGAGTTTGCCGGCGGTGATTGAAGACTCAGTTTGGAGAAGTCGGAGAACTCGGAGACCTCGGAGCCATCAGATAGGAAACTCTGATCATCCTCAGAGACAGTGAACCGCGGAATCCTGTTCGAATTAAGGAAGAAAAGTAAAATATTGCTACAAGATCCGCTTACTATCAAACACTCAGAAAAATCAGGAGACAAATGGCAATTGAACACGAAATATGAAACCTCATATTCTAAAGATATAGTTTCACATGTCCTAACTTTAACCCTAACCCTATACTAACTTTGTCCCCCTAAAGTTTACTGCAAGGCCACCTGTAGTATGTGGGGTCCATATCTCCTCGTCCAATCCCATAAAATGTACCTCTCATATTTCTAATGTTAACCCTAACGCTAGTAACCCCAAACTTAACACTAACTCCACCCTCGATCTTAACCCAGATCTCCTGGAATGTGGCGCAAGGTCATCCGTAGTACGAACAGCGCTTATAACTTTGTTCTCCCCCGTTTCTCTATCTACCAAACATTTACTGCTTGTCTATTAATGCCTATAGCAGAAGAGCCAGATTAGACGCTCTTATGCAACCAGAAAGAAAGAATTTAAGCATGCAGACAGGTGCATGCACAAAAATCAGATACTGGAAGCAAAGTATTCAACAGTGAAACAGTATCGGGTGAAATTTCCTGCACTGTGGTTTGACTTCCACCCAAAAACCGTCGACTGTGCCTCAACAATTCTCGTATGCAAAGTTTTCCTCCATAACACCCTCCAACGTTCTAAACTCTGGTAGCGACCAAGCAAAGGAGACTATTATAACATAGGCCATTCACTAGTGCAGTTTAAACATGATTTATTAGAATAATTGTCCTTAGAACGTGCTCTCCCGAAAGTTCAGAGCTTCTACGTCTACTGCATCTCATGCTGGAATTTTGAAGTAAGCCGTTAAGGCCACAAGCAACATCTGCTCTTTGCAGACATGGAATGCAGAAATCGCCTGCCTCAATTATAATTTACTTAAGCAAGGATATCCAGCACGGTTTATCCATTAGTACAGCAAACTTTTACGGCCAAAATGACAGAACAATCAGTTCCGAAAAACCCGTTTTTAAATCTTTTCCCTTTAAGGGTGACAACATTTTGAATACTATCAAGCGACGCCTACGTAGTACCATAGAAAGAACATATAATGCTGCCGAACTAATATTTTGCACTTCTCCAAAGCCTCTACCAATTTCACGCGCAATGGATGCCTTGCCAGTACAATTCACTTCAAATTGTTTATAAATTTACATGCATTTGCGGATGCAAATACATAGGGCGAACGCCAAGGCAATTGATAACTAGATCTATAAAGCGCCTGTCTAGATGGCTATTAAAACAGGAAAATAGAATTCAACGTTTATCTATTAATAAACGTCTACTTGATATGGGTCACGTCGTGGACACAGCAACATCCTTCCGATTACGTGTTCGGGCATGGACAAATCGTACATTGCGCTACCTGGAGGCAGCCTGTATACGGTGGTTAAAATTCGACCTATGTAAACAGTTGGAACACGTGGTGAACCTAACGTTACCTTGGTAGCATCCGGCTCCCTGATTTACACATGTCTCTGCCCAACCTTTGATCTTAAACGTTTTTTCCGACTCTTGCTTCCCACTATGCTTTAACTCGCTTATATTATTCATTGACCCATGTGGCAATTTTCTATGACCTTGCTGTTTGCATCGATCTTTCTGTACGAATTCAATTTTTGTATTTTCTCATACGTTATTCATGTTATGCAGCGAGAGGGCTCAGCCGAAGTGTACTCGCCAAATTTATTAGTTCCATTAAATTCTGCAGTCTTTGCATACTTCAAATTTGCACCAGGAAAAATATGCTTTAAATTATTTTCGTATCTATTAAAACAGATTGTTAGAGGGGATGGTAGACGAGTGAGGAGGACTTTCCCTCCCACAGAACCGATCTCTCACGATGCACAACCCAGTCTGCCCTCAGGGCTGAAATGGGTAGTTAAGTCCAATTGGGAGAAGGTTCTGAGGAAGGTAACTGTGCTGAAGCATCGGAATGCCATTGGGGCAGTTAGGGACTGTGAAGAAGGCAATAGGGGCAAGGACGGGCGCTAATCATATAACAAGTGAAAACAGAAAAAAAGTGAGCGGAATGCAAGGGAAGAAAATAATTTGAAACCTAAATGGGACTAATTGAGGAATACCCAAATTATCAACACGAAAACCGCACTTTTACACTTTTGCAGAAGAGATCTTCTTGGATTTATTTACTAGATCATAGTACCAGGTGTGAGTTTGGAAACACAAAAGTAAGACTTACAAAGGAATACGGTCATAGGAAGTAGTGTTGGAAGACGAGGATTTGTTTCTTCCTGCAAAAAACCCGCCGACTAAGCATAATCATCATAACATAGGAGAAATCTGCGCCTGAAACAAATAGAACGTTTGAGCAGTGGTACCAGGTATTTCGACGATAGTATCAACGAATACGCTCAGGTCGCTTTCCGTCTTTTTCAATTATCTTTCTTTCTTCGATTTTAGGTCTTAATTACTTTTGTCCTTCGTTGGTGAATCAGCCAGTAAAGGACAGCCAATGAACCCTAAATAAAGTTGGAGATATTCGAAACCGCATATGACGGGGTTTCAGCAAATACATAATCTATACCCAGAGTGCAAAGAATGTTATCGTCATTAGCAATAATATGTAGCGTAATCATCAAAGAAGTGGAAATAGCATGGCGGGGGTGTTAGCCTAACAGTTTGAAAACCAATCTTATCAAGATGTCAGAAAATAAATCTGGTCCAGAGTGGCCAGTAAGTATCGAATTACAATGGTTATTTTTCGGTTTTAAGCCAGGATTTTGGCCATCTAATGGTAATAAAACCTGCCAGAAGTGCTTTAACTTGACTCTATTGGCCTAGTCTTTGCGTAAAGGCGTCACATGAATTTTAACTCATTACCTCTTGGTGATCTCATATGAGATCACTTAAAAATTAAGAGCTTTTATAATTACCTGTCTGTATATACGCATATTTAACCTTAATGCTATATCTATTAGGTATATTTCTCTGATATCCACATGAGATTTTTAAAAAATTTGGCTCTAAATTAATTTATATACAAGTTTGAGGAACCATAGGTATCCAAGTTTCATAACAAAAATCAAAGTGGTTAAAATTATGGGAGGTAATGGGTTGAGTAAATGCAAAGTACGTAAAGCAGAATAAAGAGAAGATTAACAGTACTAATCTAATGAAGTTGCAACACCTTCCCCAAGAATTCAGTTCTCTAAAGCAGACTCCAGCTCGAAAAACCTGAACAGCTATCCCATTAAAACACACGGCCCAAAAGGATGTGATATGCATGAAAAATGGAAGAGCCTTAGCAACGTCAAATATGCTCTTTAATAGGAGGTGTTGCTTAAGTGGAATTGAGATCGGAAATAACCAAAAACATGTTGGCTTTCTAATAGGAGAGTACGCGGCCCCCAATGACGAACCGTAGATCAGCAAGCCCTTAAAAAGTAGATCACAAAGGATAGTGTCATCGTCCATATTTGCATCTAACTTTCCGAACAAGTAACGATGAATGCTTCCTGTTTAGATCGTTTTGTCGTTTTTCGTTTCATATCCTCCTGGAATGTGGTATTAAATGTCAAATTATGTTGTTCCGAAAATGGTTCCAACCGAAGACAAACTAAAACCGGTGTAATTGGATAGGCTAACGTCCACAGGCTTCCCAAGCCTGCTAATGAACAATGGCATGCATCCAGTGGATAAAGTGTTCTATCGAATTCTGGAAAAATCAGCCGGAGCAAAAAGATGAGGAGCACAAAATTGCGCTCAGAGACTTGTTGCCTGGGCTCAACTGATTTAAGGGATTTGTGAATTTGAATACGCGAAGACAACCAAAAAAGCAAGTGGAGAAAATACGACACTAACGCAACGATTATGTTTAGGTCTAGTCAGCCACGCACACGTTCTCTCCCCCTCAGCATACTCAACACCTGTTCTTCAGAAGACAAAACGCTGGTGAAAAAATATACTTCCAGCCCATCTGCGCTGCAAAGGCACTTCCCATATCCAGCGTAACGTGGGTAAACACCTAGAAGTTAACCATCATATGAATGTGGACAAAAAGGTTGCGAAACCTGCCCAAAAATGACGGCACACAGCCAGTTTGTCCGTCCTGCCGGCTGAAAACTAGGACGCCAGCATGCGCAGAAACACTGAGAAGCAATTTCGGCATCACAACAAAAGCATACACGCAATTATAAACCATAGCAGGCTGATGACAACATCTTAGACTCCGGGGAGTTTCGTCAAACGGGCTACTCGATGTGATGAAAGCTACCAATCTAGTTCACCTTTTGCACCGCGTGTGACTCGGTTGTCGGCACGCTGACACCCTGACTACGATCGTTATTTTCCTCTTCATGACTAAAGTCCTACTGCACGCGTGAGAGCGCACCTCTAGCCGGGTCTTAAGGCACTAGCGGTAGGCACACTTGGCTTAATTGAAGTTTAGCTGCAATCACCTTCTGAAGTGCTGGTAAAAAATCTCTATCTGAGTTTTTCTCCAGAAAATTCCACGTTTAACCACAAAAAAGCGGAAGATAGGGTTTGGACAATCTCCAAAAATTCACCTTGATGAATCGGGATTATCCCGAAACTGAGATCCGACTTCACGGCCGTAGGACGCACGACACGACCGTCTGTCCAGAGGACGCATCTGTCGTGCGCCCGTAGAACCAGAAAGACGCGAGGGCACACTGCGAGGACTGATGTTGCTTAGGGGTCTCTGTCGGGATACACTCCTTCCCCTTCCTCCTCGCTCCTCGTCTGACCGTCTTTGCAGCCGACTGATGTCTCGCTTGGTCCAAACATCTATAGTGGCGTGGATTGAGTTAGAAAAAAGAAGCAATGGCCAAAAAGTTGCTGACAGTGAACAAGTAGGACAATACTTTCCCTTGAAGGGAGAAAGAACCAGACGAAGAAGATGCAACCACTGAAACAAGAGTTTTATTTTGCTGACGTTTCGGATTCTGTCAAGAATCCTTAATCATAGGTAACTGTAGTATAGCCGGAGACACGCGCAGATAGGAATGATACGTGTACAGATTGCACGGTATTTATAGTTCGTAGCGGTCATCTGCATGGGTACTATACTTATTGGTACCTGTAGCCACCGCTTGGGGTCTTAATGGGTGCGGTGATAGCTTGACTCTTCGCGTTCGACTCATTAATTGCCGCTATCTCCTTGTCCGTATCAGATGTGGGCTTGATAAATGCGTGAAACTTATGCTAGTTATCGTTAGAGTTCGTGCTGCATCCGGCCCTTCCCGCAAGACCGATTCGCCTGCTCAGACAATGTCTCAGTACGCAGGATGGGAACGCCAAATCGTTGCGCTTGTTGAAGGACTGGGGTCTGAGAACCATGACTCGAGCAGCTCGCGACTCACGCGGTCGTCACCACTTGCGAGTTCGGCCTCGTTAAATTTGAAATTATGGCCGGGTCCCGTCGAGTGAGCCGCAACCTAGGAGTTAGCGTCTTTCTTCCTCACAGCCGCTGCATGCTCGGCCATTCGCGTTCAGAGTAATCTCCCGCTTTTTCTGACGTAGATGCTTTGTCAACAACTGCACCAGATTGGGTAAACGACTCCAGCCGTCTCCTGCCGTGGCAGTGGGTCTTTCGGCCTCATGACCGCCTGATGGTTGCTCTGGCCTGTGCGCAACTCTAACTCCAAGTGGGGTCAGCAGGCGGCTGACCGCCTCCGATAATTTGTTTAACTACGGAAGAGATCGCCAAACCTTTGGGCCAGTTGGGTGTGGTTTCTACTCTCGTCTGCGTATGCATTGGTTGAAAAAATTACGCGGGTAACCATTTGCTCTCAGTACCGTCGAAGATATTGTAATTCAGAATTTTTGTCTTCCACTTCGCTGCAATGCGTCTCAATGCGCAGGTATAGCGCTCTTACGCAGCTGCATTTGCGACTGATCAGGTGGTCGCTGTTGAAGTTCAGGACTTGCATAATGCTGGTTCTTTTCCTGAACACTTTGGTTTTTAGGCCACCACCGTCTATGCGGCAAACGAGGACATCAAGGAAGGCCAGCTGGTTGTTTTTTCTTCTCCATAGTGGATTGAATGTCCGAGAAGACGGTGTTGGGACGTTCCTTGAATGTCAGCACCTGATCTCGTTCAATTACGACGGTGTCGTCCACATACCAAGCCGAGAATTTCGGTCTGTGGTGTCGGAAAACCAGCGACTCCAACTGTTGCAGGATTGCCTCTACTATGAGTCCGGAAATGGGCGAACCCACGGGCGTGCCCTTCACCTGCTCGTAGATAGTTTCGTTGAAGGTAAAATACGTCTTGAGACAAAACTTTAGGAGCTGAAGGTGACCTCAATGTCAAAAGCCTATTTAGTTTCTTGCGGACCTTGGTCACTTCATCCAGATAGTTAAGATAGATTGGATTGACGGACAGACAACGGCGACAGTCGACGTGACAGATCGTGATAAGGACATTCGTTGAATTGACAGATCGTTGTATTGACAGATCATTTCGGCGACTCAGAATTGATATGAACACAGCCTTCTGACCTAGTGTCAGAAGGTCGATGGAATAAATCGTGATAGGAACATGCCCTTATATAATTATTTTCTAGCTGATTGGATCGATAGCAGGGCTGAGCGAGCAGTAAGCCGAAGGTAGACTCGTGAGGGACCATGCTTCATTCATTGGCCCGCCGCGGGGTTGATGTAACTAGCAGGTACATCGGCGTGCTTGCAACTTGCAGTCAGCCTGCGTAGACTCAGATAAATACAAAGTACTTTGCGGTCTAACTTCCTTCAGGTTGGTGTAGTGGCTAAATGGAGCCCGTTATCAAACTAAAACGAGACCTATCCCTTAGTTTCGCCAATTAAAATAAATTTCACCCGGATAGCAGAGTGCTTGTATGTTATATCTTCAGTAAACTGATGACCCGCAAATTCAAAATGCATAGTTGATTTGAGTTGACCCGAATAGGAAGAAACTCGAGGTGTTTGGCGGGATTTGAATACACGTAGTAGAGAAGGCCTTAACCGGAAGCCAACGCTCTAACCACCCGAGCTACAAACGCCTCAGGTGTTTAGAGCGTTGGCTTCCGGTAAAGGCCTTCTCTACTACGTGGGTTCAAATCCCGCCAAACGCCTCGAGTTTCTTCACAATTGGGTCAACTCAAATTAAGGAAATCTGCCTAGCCTCCTTATAAGCATAGTTGATTGTACGCGTTGTCGCATCTTTCAAATTGACGTATAAATAGGTAAACTGTAACAAAGCCCAACTAAAACACTACTAAACGCAATTCGTAAACAGGGGTAAACAAGCCTAATTAAAGGGGCGTGCCTATTGGATGAGAGGATTTAGTGCTTCAATTAACCCCCGGCTGCTCCTGCGACCGCACTTCAAATAATCTAAAGCTGTTCCATACTGAAAACGGTGAACGAGACACATTTGGTCATATAAAACCTGACCAAACTGATAGAAACCTTAGTCCGACCAACCCTAGCTTGCGTAATTTTTTTTAGAACAAGATGATAAATATTTGCTGGATAGATTTGTTTGGCTTGAGGGTTGTCCTTTACATACACAAAGGAAGCACGACTCGCTGGTCGAATATGCCTTGGGCTCCGTCTGAATTAAGTGGAAGATACGATCTTTATACTCTAGCCTATTTTTTCCTACTACGAACCCGGTGCCACATTATTTGCTAGCTAAAAGGCATATAATTAATTAAAGACTAAACGATATCTGGCACAAGAGGAAAGATGAATGAAAGCGGACCAAACTTACCTTGTTGACAGCCACCAGTCTCGGATGCGACCTGAAAAAATCGGGAGAGAAAATGTCAAAAAGTGCCGAATGAAATAAAAGCATTCCCCTCACCAGACTGTTATCTATGCTAGTAAGGAGCTTTCAAAGGAAGAAAGTGCTAGACGTGAACAAAGACGAAGATATAAAAAATCAAAATTTCCTTGAGTTCCATGCTTACAAAAATAAACCTACCGTAAGAATTTATTTGTCGTGTAGTCAGTTTTATAGAGCAATCAGCAAACTTAATTATTCATGACGATATATTACGTGAGCCGTAAGATAACATGCTCATAGGCCTTTTTATACCTGTACAACGGCGAGCACTTTGCTTCTGCTAGGCAAGAAAATTACGCTCGAGTGTGTCATTTGTCCTAAATTTGCACGGTTCTAAGATCGTAATTTAAAAAAATTGCACATGCTACGTTTCCCGTCGCTAAAACGGATTAAGTGGAAGAGCTTCATAAAGCTATCAACTCTAAAATTATAGGTACGCATTTAATACATCAAAACGGATTTGGAAATAAACGCTCACATCTAGATGTTACGGCAAAGAGGAACACTGACGGAATATAACGGACACCCACGTACCCCATTCTAAATTATGAGAACAACAACTCTACCTCACACAAGAGCAAGGCTGTCAAAGGTCTGCTCAATCGAGCGGAACCACCACTCGATCCTAATTCTCTCATTGAATCATTTTCTCAAAGTGGGTACTCTAGAGAGATTGTACGCCGATGCATGGGACAAAAAGGATCAGATGAATAGCAACTAGGTATTTCCAATCAGGCACTCAAACCGAATAGTTGGCGAACCTTTCCTTACACCATGAATGCGTCTGGACTCCTTGGAAGGGACCTGGGGAAGCACCAAATACAAGTAGCGCACGAACATATGTTTAACTTACACAGAGCTTGTACATCCTAAGGATAGAGTTAGTTATTTGGATAAGTAGGCAATCGTCTAAAAGATGCTACGAGATGCAAGATTTAGTAGTTAAACTAGGAAATCCTTCTCTACATGCATTTATAATCATCAGTGAGCAGTAAAATTGGACTCAAAAACGATGCTTCGGAAAGCACACTGGTTTAGGACATAAACCGAATGAACGGAGTCTGGCCTTGCAAAAAATGCAAAAAGTCCTTCGAGGCCATGCACTCAGAAGAATTATGGATGTACTGGAATTTAAGTTAGATGCCGCGTACAGAAATCTTGGGAAGAAGTAGAGGAGACGATCCCCCCATATTCATCATATTCTCGATCTCAACGGACAAAGCAACGAGCCCGTGGTGCAATGATAGTGTGGTAAACTCAATGAACAAAGGTCCCGGGTTAGAATTGCAGGTGATTCACAACTGGGATTGGGTATAACTGGCCGGTGGAAGCTAATAAGCCAGAAATGACCATTCCGGTCTCCCTTTGCTTTATTAGATCAATTCCATATACATAAATCTACGAAATGGATCCAACAAAGCAAAGGGAGACCGGAATGGCCATTTCTGGCTTAT